CATCACGACAGGAGCCACTGCTTGAACGCCCAGAGCCGAGCCGTTCTGTGAAGTCGTGAGGCCGTAATAATCCACACCGATGAGTCCGAAGACGGTCTGCCAAGTTATACCGATGGTCCTACGGGACAAGCAGGTAAAGTTAGCAGGTAAATGCACTGAAGCTCGAAGAGCGGGACTTGACATAAAATGACACATGAGTACCGGAACAATTAAGAAGAAGAGCAAATCTCATCACGGGCACCAAGACGAGGAAACAAATTGGGTACTCACTGATCATAGAAACGATCAACGAACTTGATGCCAGATTACGTCTGAGGTATTCATATGGAAATTATCGCAGGGAAACAAATCAAGCGAAGAGTTCGACTGCCGGGAATGAACCACGAATAATATTGAACAATACTCTAGTCACTACCAAAACTAAAGAAGAATAGGACGCAGTTAATACTTACTGTCCACAGAAGGATGCCAGAGATAGGCACATAACCGTTGGGATGAGATATTTGTTCCTGGGCGGGTCTTTCATGCTCACCCCTGCAGGTCTGATAGGATTGCCGTCTTTGTCTCTAATTAGGGATTCTCTCAGGAATAGGAACATGAGGATAAGCAACACCGACGCGATGACGCCAATGAAGTAGAATGGGAAGGACAGGGATACGCTGGCTAATGCACCACCTGGAGAGGAACAAAGAAAACGATAGAAACTTGTGGTGATGAAGGTATAGAGACTCCTACCTATAATAGGGCCAATACTTCGTCCTATGACCACCGATAGGCCAAGAAAGGCACCATACAACTTCATGTCTACCGGCCTACTACTGTCGATGAGGTAGGCGATGATTACGGGACGGCTTCCTGAAGCAACGTCGTACATTGCAACGCTTTCCGGCTCAACGAGTTCAACAGTGACCCTTTCTCGACACTATCTCTATTCCAAATTAGTTTATCAGAATTGAATAAGTGGGCTATTTATTCCGACTGCAATTCACACTCGGACTGCCAGCACCACGTAATCGAGCGTGACAATAGGAATAGTTATTCCATAAGACTCAAGGCAACTATATTCCGGCAAAGGTGAATCATGTATAGGCCGATTCTCAAGTTGGCCTTGTGCTAATATCTATGATATCAACATCAGATCCTCTAGCATCACCCCTACGAAGGAGGAACCACCATCATGTAATCGGAAAAGCGATGATCAGATGACGAAGGGCGAACACTATGAGGGATATATCGCACGCAGAGTTACTGCTTTACGGACAGCTTAGTAGCTCTGATGACTACGTTGGAGAGAATCGTAGAAGAACACATCTAATGATTAGATTCTAATCTTTAGGACTTGAGGGGCAGAATCGCGCACGATTTAAAATCCAAATATAGGAAGAGTGAGATGACTTCAATTCAAGGCGACTCGGTGATTCAACCGAGTCCACTGCATACGTGGGGGTGATTCTACTGATGTGGGATCAGAGTATTGAGAGCTGTAGTAGAAATACGAGAATGTGAATATTTCACGCACGATTATATTGAGCTAAATAGACGTATTAATGAACTCCATAATAAACGATATATCGTTTTTTAGTTGCAGTATTTTCTCCTCCCCCGTGGCGAAACCAAGCACACTGATTTCGATAGAGATTATATTCCATATTTACAACAGCAAACCCCCGTTGCACACAAAGAGTCAAAAGAAAGCCCCTCACTACTACCAGCAGCAGTTCCGCCGATCGCCCGGAACACAGCGAAGGTGGTGAGGTCCCATGCATTAGCCACTAGAAACTGCGCCACTGTATAGATTGTCATTCCCGCTAAGAATACAGGACGCCGACCCAACCTGAAGACTCACAGTCACCACACAAGCAGAGCTGGATGATTCACTGAAGTCGAAGACGCTACGATGAGTCGAAGAAAACGCACAAACTTTCCTGATAAGAAAAATAAGAAAGACGGAGAGTACCTGTCAGACAACGGCCCAGTGAGCAGAGAGGCTAAGAACGTGCCGACAGCATAGGATGCCATCAGGATGGACGCTGCAGTTCCCTGGTTCATATCAGGTGCTAGCTTTTCTACGTACCTATCAATAACAGATACAGCATCGAAAACACCAACATTGACAACTAAATCTGTCACTCGAAAATAGAGGGAAGCAGTAACCAGAAAGCTCCCAAATATTTCTCTCAACCTTGGAGCGGAAAATTACTCGCTTTTTCCAAAATTTTCTAGAGTTTTTTTTCTGACGTCATGGTGGTATGAGCGGTAATGACAATTACAAGCTTGACGACCCAGCTTAGTTGTGACGAGTCACTCCCACAGCGCGGCCACTAGCGGATCTCACAACCTAGCGAGTACAGATTCTTATTACCATGGTGTGACGGGTGCCAATAGTGTGCTCCCCAACCACTCTAGGAAGATGCTAAAGAATATCATGACTAGATCGGCCACCCGTCTCGGTCGGTATTTAATGCGGTAGAACAGCCTCTTCCAATGATTGAGGTTATAATACTCACTTGGGGGTAACGGACCCTCGCTACCTCCATCACGAAGTGGCAATATCTTCCAATGCCACTGGTGAGCCATATTGCTGATAGAAACTATGGAGAAACTACCATAAATGGAAGGCTCTACTTCGCACATAGACAGGCAACATCACCATGTGGTGACCTACGATATATATAGCTATCGCAACTTACTAAGCTGAACCTAAAGTAACTTCCTCGTTAACTACCATAGTTCGCGCGATTCGTATGCAGCTGAATGCGACACATCACCGGAGAGTACATAGCTCGATTCATTAGACTTGGTCAAACAGGCCATGCTGGTTGCGAATAAATAGGAAATTGTGGTAACAGCACTGCCCTTGTGCGCGATGGATCGTAGGAAGGGGAGAATTGAACTCACCGAGTCTGGCCAAGCTCACGACCCCCGAGGCTGCTCCTCGAGCATCTCCTCTGGAATTCGACTTCTCGGTGAAGGACTCACCACGGCAATATGTAGACGCCTCGCGATTAACTATCGATCAACGGTTGCAGTAACAAGGATACCCGTGTAACAACGACCTCTTGTTTTTCGAGTGACCACTTACGACATACTATGAACACAACGTCTGCACGGTATATCAATGAGAATGAGAAGGACCGACACTTGTGAACACCGAGAACAAACAACAGGATCATCTATACACAATACCATAGGGAAACACCGTGATGGCATGTCGGGAGATACTAGATCCTTCTAAGAGGAGTTCACATAGTTATTGAATATTGCACAACCCACCCCATCGGGGAGGGAAGCTAACAGTATACGTTGCTACCATAAGGCATTCGAGAGAGAAAACGGGGACGAGAACTAAAAACAGAATCGTCTATAAACAATACCATAGGGGAGCACGGCGTGTCGGAAAATAATAGATCCTTAAAAGAGGAATTTACATAGTTGTGGAATATAGCACAAACACACCCCGTCGGGGAGAGAAACTAAAAATGTACGGTGCTACCATGAGGCATTCACAAGAAGAAGAACAGGGAGAAGAACTAAAAACAGAATCGTCTATAAACAATACCACAGGGGAGCACGGCGTGTCGGAAAATAGTAGATCCTCTTAAGAGGAGTTCACATAGTTGTTGAATATAGCACAAACGCACCCCGTCGGGGAAGTAATTTAACAGTTAACGTTGCTACTATGAGACATTCAAAAGAAGAACAATAACAAAGAACAACGGCGTGGCAGAATTATCGTCTTCATAATAATCACACTCTCTCCTCCAAATCCACAGAACTGGCGGTATCCTCCGTAGACAAGTCGGGCTCACCACAGGTGGAACCCTCATCAGAGTCGCCATTATCATGCTCGAGTAGATTCGTTTGGTGCTTCATCCCGAAGTAGACGAATATACCTCAAGAAATAACACGAGATTACACGATCACGGTCACGTATAATATTTCGGACTGTGAATTCCTCACGAGCGAATAAAGAGAATAATTCCGGCTGAAATACCGACGACCGAGCGACCAAGCGCTGACGATGAGGGCCCGTGCCAAGAACTACAACTTATTCACGCCCAATGTAATTCCTACGAACTTTCCTATTCTCCCTCAACATAGCAATTACAGTGCGAGCAACTTACAAGAGATAGCGCCGACACCGGAGAAAATAACACTGAGGTAGAAGGGATATGCCACGTTGAGATCGTAAAGGTTACCAGCTACCAGAGGCCCGACCAGTCCACCTAAAAACACCAATTGCAGACGAGAAAGAGCCCAAGCACAACGAGATGACAAGGCGGTAGATAGCAATCGACTTCTATACTACCAATATTAGAGGCAGCCATAACGCAGGAGTTAATCAGACCTCTCCTCTTAGGTGGAGATATGACTGCAGTAAAGTAGGCTTGGCCAGCAAAGTACAGGCCGACTAAAGGGACAAGGAGATAATCACAACCAAATGCGATATTCATCAACAACAACGTGGAATACTCCTATTTTAATAAACAGGCGAATACGCCGAAGCTCATAGAATATACCATACCATGAGAACGTTCGTTCTTACTTTCAGCCTGCAAACCTATACCGAGGAAGATGACCCCAGTCAAGCTGTGGATGAATGGGACGATCACGATTGTCATGGTCAGTACCAAACCAAGCGAGCCCAGAAGTGCAGCTGGAATAAGCTCTGAGAGAAATAAGCGACAATTAGTTGAATCGCAGGAACACCATTGAATTGATCAGGTGACTCACTGGTGAGCTGCAGATAGATGAGGTTGGTGAAGATAGTTCCAACGGCTTGAATACTCTGAGCTCCTCCATTCTCAGAAGAGGACAAGTTATACTCATCCGCACCCAAAAGACCAAACACAGTAGACCAGTTGATACCAACATACCTGCGAAACAAGGAATGTCGGCATAAACGTGCGAAGTCGCAACGTTTGCTGAGCTAATCGCTAACGCCCTGAGCGACTCTGCAACCGATTTTCACTCCAGAAATGCGGGTCCGGAATTGATTCTGCTTCCCAGAATTTCCTCATTTAACACTCCTCAAAAAGTGTTTTCAACCGGCGAGAATTCTTTTCAGTGTGATAGCTCGAACAAGATCACATGCGCAATATAATACCCTTCCGGAATCCTTACTGGGCAGAGAAGGATACGATGCCAAGTACCACGACAGTAGGCCAGAGATACTTGTTCATCGGAGGCTCCTTCTTGTCAGGATGGGCAAACTTGTTGATGGGCATTCCACTCTCATCCTTCTCCAACGACTCACGCAGGAAGAGGAGTTCCAGAATGAACAATACAGCAGAGACGACTCCCATGAAGTAGAATGGGAAGGATAAGGAGACACTTGCCAACACTCCACCTGAACATACAACGATGAGCTCTCGACCATCAGATGGTTGAAGCAGCGCACACCCTACAAACTAACCTATTCATTAATGACCGACATCAACGGAAGGGGTACTCTATCGATATATCAGACGGAAACGTGAGAGGTAGATCAGAGGGGTAGACTATCAGATACCACAACAGAAAAAAACAACCTTACCGATAGCAGGTCCGATACTCTGTCCTACGACCACATGGAGGCCCATGATCACACCGTAGAGCTTCATATCGATCGGACGACTGCTGTCAATCAAGAAGGATATGATCACAGGTCGAGTACCTGGCAAAGTAGAGGTCGGTGGCTCGATCCTCGGGACTTTCATTATTACCGGCTGAGATACCAGCCATAGCACGGAAGCCTGCAAAGCTTGCAATATCCCAAGCGTTGGCCATGAGGAACTGAGCAACGGTGTAGATACCCATCGCAAAAAGGAGAACCGGACGACGACCGAGTCTGAGAAGACCACTCAAGTACTAGTTCCGACAGCATCCAGGAAGGCGCGCTACCTATCACTGAGTGGTCCGCTGATCAGAGAGGCAAGGAGCGTTCCAACAGCATAAGCAGCCATTAGAATAGACGCGGCTGAGCCGTGATTCATATCGGGAGCTAGATGCTCGCTATACCTGAGAATTTTCAATGCCTCGAGCATTGAAAACTGGAAAATCCTTATCTTACCAAGGAGTAACAGGAGCCAGAAGTGTATTGCCCAGCCTTGAGATGAAGATGCCAAAGAACAGAATAACCAAATCCAGCACTCTTCTAGGGTTGTACTTAGTCCTATACACCAGACGTTTGAAGCAGCTGAGTGCGTGGTACTCCTCAGGGGAAAGTGGACCCTCCCTGACTTTCTCTGGGAGAGGGAGAGATTTGAAAGAAGAGAGAAAAGCGGTCATAAGTAGCTATTATAACAATAAGAGTAAAAGTAATGAAACTAACAGAAAATTCATAACTTAAGACTCAAAAGTCGACAAGTGCGAATAAAGAGAGAGGGTTTGCGACTTTGCCGAGAAGTTGAACGACGTTCTTCCCTGATAAAACGGAGGGCGAAGCAACGATTCCTAGCCTAGCAGACTACCCTGCCAGCAGACCGAACACATTCACCGATGACGAAGGGACGGAGAGGCCAGACTGGCCAATGATTAATTTGGAATGGCAAGTTCAGCCCAAAATATAAAACGAGGGCGGGACCCGTAAGGTGGCAACCTAGGATGGAAACAGCACACGGCGTGTACGTGTGGACCGAGAGCAGGTCCCTGAAAAGTATGGACGAATAAGCTGAAGCAAGTCATTCACCAGTAGTTTGATGTGAAGGTGGAATCTGATCAATTCAACTCGACTCTTTCAGCCGAAGAAGGCAAAAATCTTGTGATAATGTTCAAAGGCCTTCGCCCAGCTACTACATAATCGATCTTGACACCCAGAGACACGTGCTCACATGATGACGTGAGAAATCAATGTGATGGTCTTTTATATGATGATGAGAAAAAAGGCCCCAATGAACAGTAACGGATGAGTTGTTATTACTGACTATGATGAGCCTGTGGGAGAGTCGTCCTCAACTGGACTATTTTCCCAACGGGATATGCTCACGATTGCCACAGAAGAAGTAGACAGCACCGCGGTGCCGCACAACCTTCCCTGTCCTCTCCGTACAAACACGGTCATCGGCACTCGGGGCCTTAGGATGCAGATCGTAGCCTCTTGACCCTTACCTTATGTCGGAACTGCGCCTTTCTCCTAGAGGTATCCAACTGTCCCGGAGAACTGACGGATAACGCTGGGGCAACTTCGGCAAGTGTTAACCTTTCGTGTATAGCCATCGCAACCTAGAGAAGCTCTCTCATCGACTCCAATGCTTCTCGCGAATTGTATTCAGCTCAATACAATGCACCGCTGATAGTAGTAGCACTAGCAGTACGATTTTTTTGGATTTGGTTGAACAGGGCGCATTCTCGTTGCGAGTAACACGTATGCAATTGACCAAGATATTAGCAGAGCGAGGGGTCAACATTGCTGACACAGCACTGACCTTATACATATTGGTAAGTTGACCCCACCGATTCCGAAAAAACCACATCGTGCACAAATCGCTGACTCTATCCTCTGAACCACACATGATTTTGTTGAATGGCCTCGACAGCCACACTTTTGACACCTCAAGGCGACATCGATAGGAGTGGACTTTCTGCATCGACTTGCTCTATGCCGTGGCTTCGCACATCTAAGGCAGTCTTGCCGATGCTCTGCCATAAGTTCTGGCCCAGAACTCCATGTCCACACCCTTGTTGTCCACAAGGAAACACCAGTTTAGGATGATTATCACCATTAGATTTATGGGGATAAGACACGTTTGAGCCACCTTCGCCTATCGCTGCACAAGTGGGATCTGAGGGCGTACTGACTTCATTCAGTCCGATAGCTGAATACGACGCCGGGGTAAAGAGGCCACGACAGCATGTGAACACTGTTGATCCGCGATTAGCTATCAAGCAGTGGTTGCAGTAATAAGGATACTCACGTGATAACGCCTTGCTTCTCGGAATGACCACTTACGACATACTATGAACTCAAGATCTGCACGGTATACCGATGAGAAGGACCGACACTTGTGAACACCGAGAACAAACAACAGGATCGTCTATACACAATACCATAGGGAAACACCGTGATGGCATGTCGGGAGATACTAGATCCTTCTAAGAGGAATTCGCATAGTTGTTGAAGATAGCACAACCCACCCCATCGGGGAGGGAAGCTAACAGCATTCGGTGCTACCATAAGTATATTGCCGGCATTCAAGAGAAGAAGAACAAGAACAACGGCAGAGTAGAATTATCGTCATCACAATCACACTCTTCCCTCACCCACCACAGAACTGGCGGTATCTGTCATAGACACGTCGGATTCACCAGAGGTAGTGCCCTCTTTAGAGTCGTCGTTTGCAGCACCATGCTCGAGTAAACTCATCTGGTAGTTGATCCCGAAATAGACGAATACACCTGAAAATAACACTCAATTGAACGACAACGGTCAAAGCCCAACAATACTCCAGGTATAATCACACTAAGAATCCACAAGAGAATGAGAAAGTAACTCCAACAGAAAAAACCGACCGAGCAGCGACGCAATACAGAAAATTCCTTCCTTAATAAGGGTTGCCGATGACTCGTATGAGCCAGGAACTATACCTTATCCACGCCAGATGTAATTCCACAAAGTAATTCCTACGAAC